GTTCTGCAGGCAGTGTTAATTCACAAGTTTGAAATTTAAAAAAAGTTGTCTGCTTATATTTGGTAGATCAATGCCAATGTTAATTTTCTCCTCATCTTCATGAGAAATTGGAGCTACTGTTTTTCTTTATTTCTTTTTCTATGTCCTGTGTCCATTCAGGATTTTGGTAACCATGGCTCTTCAGTTTCCTCTCCTTTGTAGCTCTTAATAAGTGTTGTCTCCTTGTTATCTTTCTTAAACTTTGTTCTGTCATCCATTCACTCAAGCTTGCTAGGTAGGTAGGTTATGCATTGTTTTCCTCTGTACCTCTGGTCATTTAATAAGTCCTGTGAGTATCAAATTTTCCAAACCTTCTTTCCACATTATGTGACCTAGAAATAATTTCAGTTATTTCTTTCTGATATTAAGTATAAGTGTGCTTTTAGTTTCTATTTTCTCTATAATTTTGTTGTTGGTCACATGTTCGGTTCATGATATTTTCATCATTCCTCTGTAGGACCACATTTAAAATGCTCCAAGTCTTTTCTTCATCTGTGAGAAGATTGTCCAGCATTCACTGCCATAGAAGAGAACTGATACTACATGATAGTTTAGTACTCTTTTCTTTGTTTCTAATGACATTTTCCTGTTTCATAATACTTTGCTTAGCTTTTGGAAGACATCTTTTGCTATCCTAATAGGCCTTCAGATTCACACTTTTCTTTCTCTGTTAAAATACTTCCCAGATATTTAAATTGTACTTGTTTTATTTTGGTATCTCCAGTTTGCAATTTGCATGTTGGGCTCTTCCTTTTTCTAACAACCATGCAATCTACCTTCTTTCAGTTTAGGTTTAGACCTTTCTTTTCACTTTCTGTCATTACCTTTTGTAGGAGTTCTTGTAGTTTCCATTCTGTGTCTGCTCTCAACACTGTCATCTGCATATTTTTTGCTAAGATTGTGGCTATCAATAATAAATCCTGGTAGGAGTTCTAGTTCTCTCAGAATTGCCTCAATGTACAGGTTGAATAAGCCTGGTGAGAGGACACAACCTTTTCTTACACCACTTTCTATTTTTGTATATTTACTGAATTAATTTTTTGTCACTATGCAGGTGATTTGCTGCTAGTATAGGTTCTCGGTTATTCTAATATCCTTCCCATATATGTCTAGTTTACCAAGCAGTTATTTACTATAAAAAAAGGACTAATAATCAACTGCAAGGAAACAAAAAATATGGCCATCAGCAAGAGGAAAAGCATGAGATCCCAGTCAAAAATTGGAAATAAAAACATTAAGCTGGTGCAAAATTTCAAATATCTACAAAATGTTTTAACAGAGATGGAAAATGCAACACCAAGATTGAAACATATATTGGACTAGTGAAAGAAGTATTCCAAAAGCTAAGCCAGGTACTAAGAAACAGAAAAATTTCATTAGAAACAAAGAAAAGAATGCTGGATGTGATATCCAACCGTTTATATGGCAGTGAATGCTGGACAATCTCTCATAGATGAGGCAAAAAGTAGAGGCAGCAGAAATATGGTTCTACAGAAGGATACTGAGAATTCCATGGACAGAGTGAGCAAGCAACAAGAAAATAGCAATGGAAAGAACAGATATTCAGAATCAAGAAAAGTTGACTGGAATGATGAAGGAGGGCTTGGAAAACTCTCATGAAGCATATTGAGGGCAAAAGATATAGGGGAATATGGCAAGCCACTTGCCTAACAAGTCTGTGCAAATGTATATCAGAACATGGTGGGGGGGATCCTTAGCAAAAGGAGAAAAACTGCTAAGAACCACACGAGATAAATGATCATGGATCTTCCACAACTTCCTATATCCTGAAGGGATATGGCATATAAATTATACCCAATGTTATGCAGGCCATGTTTCTTCTTTTAGGCTTTACTGTATTGTGCAGTCATTTTTTGAGAATTTTGCATTTGCCTCTAAAATGAACTCCATGACATTATTACAATTAAAGCAATTTGCTAAGTTTCAACATTTTGACTCTTTATTTCATATTATTATTATTATTATTATTATTATTATTATTATTATTATTATTATTCCTTCATTTCCTATGGCATTATAATATTAGAATTTATTTTACTTGGTAGATTTTCAAAATATGCTATTAAAAATGTCAACATTAACTACCTTAGCATTTAGATCACAGCTTGGAAATGAAGGAAAATAAGTTTACTTCATTTCCAAGCTGTGATCAAAATGCAAACGTAGTTACCACTTTTAGGACAGAAAAGGACTTTATTTGAATAACAAAGCAATTTTATTATAAAATTCATGACCTCAACAAGTCATGTTTATAAAAAACATCCAAAACCAAAGTGGAAATGAATAAAAAACAATTATAATTTATATTAATATTTTTGAGATGAAGAATTGCCATTTTATGCCTTTTTGTATATCTCCCAAACCAAGCCCCTTCTCCTTGGAAAAAAAAAACCAAGAACTATGTATTATACATCCTATGCAGTTGTGATAAACAGTAAAGTTAGAGGAACATTGTAAATTTCTAGTCCAGTGAAAGAAAATGAAGTCAAGCATTGACTAAACATAAACGGATGGAAAGAGGTGATTCCTGTGGAATGAAATAATAATAATAAAAAAAGTTCATAAAAATGTGCTTATTTATTTGTTTTTTCTTGTTTTTGTTATTTCTATAAGATTTCAGCCAGTCAATTCTCTTGTCACCGTCACAACATTTTTATTGTACTACTAACTAAAAATCTGCATAAAACAGAAATTAATTCCTCTCTTTGTTGTTAAACATACCTTATTGTATTTTTGTTATGATAGTTGCATAATTAACACCTGGCCAGTGGTAATTTATCTACAGTCATCTGTAGTATGTGTATTAGTATTTGAATTGCCTTGTCAATCATTAATTTTTAACTAATATTTTTTTTAATGTTTCTAGATTGTTCTTCTGATTGTTTCTTAAGCAGGTCATTAGCCTAATCAATAAAATTTCTATTTCACTCAAGGCTTATCCTTTATTTCTCTTCTTTCTTAATTAGCAATCTGGGATACAATATACAATACAGTAGCACATGAGAGAAACTGTGAGACTGTCTACAATCCAATAGGATGCAAGAGAAACTGGGAGACTGTCTACAATCCAATAGAATGCAAGAGAAACTGAGAGACTGTCTACAATCCAATAGAATGCAAGAGAAACTGAGAGACTGTCTACAATCCAATAGAATGCAAGAGAAACTGAGAGACTGTCTACAATCCAATAGAATGCAAGAGAAACTGGGAGACTGTCTACAATCCAATAGAATGCAAGAGAAACTGGGAGACTGTCTACAATCCAATAGAATGCAAGAGAAAACTGGGAGACTGTCTACAATCCAATAGAATGCAAGAGAAACTGGGAGACTGTCTACAATCCAATAGAATGCAAGAGAAACTGGGAGACTGTCTACAATCCAATAGAATGCAAGAGAAACTGGGAGACTGTCTACAATCCAATAGAATGCAAGAGAAACTGGGAGACTGTCTACAATCCAATAGAATGCAAGAGAAACTGGGAGACTGTCTACAATCCAATAGAATGCAAGAGAAACTGGGAGACTGTCTACAATCCAATAGAATGCAAGAGAAACTGGGAGACTGTCTACAATCCAATAGAATGCAAGAGAAACTGGGAGACTGTCTACAATCCAATAGAATGCAAGAGAAACTGGGAGACTGTCTACAATCCAATAGAATGCAAGAGAAACTGGGAGACTGTCTACAATCCAATAGAATGCAAGAGAAACTGGGAGACTGTCTACAATCCAATAGAATGCAAGAGAAACTGGGAGACTGTCTACAATCCAATAGAATGCAAGAGAAACTGGGAGACTGTCTACAATCCAATAGAATGCAAGAGAAACTGGGAGACTGTCTACAATCCAATAGAATGCAAGAGAAACTGGGAGACTGTCTACAATCCAATAGAATGCAAGAGAAACTGGGAGACTGTCTACAATCCAATAGAATGCAAGAGAAACTGGGAGACTGTCTACAATCCAATAGAATGCAAGAGAAACTGAGAGACTGTCTACAATCCAATAGAATGCAAGAGAAACTGAGAGACTGTCTACAATCCAATAGAATGCAAGAGAAACTGAGAGACTGTCTACAATCCAATAGAATGCAAGAGAAACTGGGACTGTCTACTGGAAGTTTCAATAAGTAGCAAGAGAATTAAAATTAAAAAATATTTCACAAAAATTAATAATCTTTATTTGTAGTTTGATTTCCAATTTCAGATTATTTATAGAAATGTTAAAGATTAGTGATTAACACATTAAAAATGAGAAGACTTGTCTGAAGAACTCTAGAAATAATGATGATTCCATTTCTCAGAATTTTAAACTTCTCAAGAATATCAACATCTGAAGGTATTTGTAGAGAAAAAATTAGTATAAAAGTGACTTTAGAGGTTAAAATCTCTGTTCAAATCTGGTTTACTGTTTCTTGTATATTTTATATTCTTGTCTGCTACTAATTGTATCAATTCCTGCCTCTTCAGACATCTGCCATTTTTGGCCACTTGAATCTTTATGGCAGATATATTTGTATTCATGTTTTTGTTTCTTTTGTCTGTTTATGGACAACACTCTTCTACTTAGATTTGCTGCTTTTATTGAAGGTTATCGGTAAACTACTTGAATGACTGGTTGCTTGTACTGGTTAAAGTAGCAGAGCTTATTTGCATGCCTCTTAGTTGCATCTGTTTGCTGGTATCCACTCTGCCAAAGTAGCCTCCCTTAATTGTACACTGTTGTTTTGATTATTTATTTATTCCATTTTTGTTTCGTCTTTGTTCATTATCGGAATTTTGCTCTTTTTATGACTGAAGAGTATGATGAGGGTTTCATGGCCAGCATAACAAGAACTTGTACAGATGGAGGCAGTGTTAATGCACTTAAGAGGTGTTACAGATTGAAAACGAGGGGGGGGGAAGTAAAGCATTGTTGAAAAGGAGAAAAAGAAGAAAATTAGACAAAAGAAACTGGCATAAGTGAAAAGAAGAAAGAAATGTGTGAAAATAGAAGCAGAGGAAGAAAAAGAAGAGATTTAGTGGCAATAGAAGGAAGGGAAAGGGATATGACGGGGGAAGAAGAAATTGAAGGAAACAGAAGGGATACAAGGGAGAAGGAAGAGGAGGAAATACTAGGAATAAAAGGGAGAAGGAAGGGAAGGAACCAGGAGGGATAAAAGGGAGAAGTAAAGGGTAGGAAATAGGAGGAATAAAAAGGAGAAGGAAGGGAAGGAAATAGGGATAAAAGGAGAGAGTTAAAGGAGGGGAAATAGGAGGGATAAAAGGGAGGAAATAGGAGGAATAAAAGGGAGAGGTAAAGGAGCAGAAATAGGAGGGGTAAAAGAAGAGAATTAAAGGGGAGGAAATGAGGAATAAAATGGGGAGGTAAAGGGATAAAAGGGGAGAAATAGGAGGAATAAAAGGGAGAAGGAAGGGGAGGAATAAAAGGAGAGAGTTGAAGCGGAAAAATAGGAGGAATAAAAGGAAGGGAAGGAAATAGGAGGAATAAAAGGAGAGAGTTAAAGGGGAGGAAATAGGAGGGATAAAAGGGAGAAGGAAGATGAAAAACAGCAAAGGAAATATCCCCCCCCTCTCTTACATAAAGCTGGATGAGATAAAATCAAACAGAAAGACCAAAAAAGGATAGTTAAAACTTCAAGCCTTAGATGTTCACTCCAGTGAAACTTTACCTAACTATGGAACCACCATAACGTCTTATTTCTCTCAGTATTTCATCTTATGAGCTTGTAAAAATGATGCTCCCTTAGGAAAATTCATTTTATTTCTGTGACTGAAAATGTTTATGCAGAGAAGTTTCCATATTTGGGAACTACAGTTTTCAATTTTTGAATATCTAATGAGCTAAGTGATTTAATTTGCATACTTTTAGAATGTTTCCTGGCCTGATGTATCAAAAAACCTGGACAGGTTTTTGTTATGAATTTCGAGTGATTTTAATAAATGAAAGTAAACAAATTTACTCTCCAGAAAGGAAGTAGAAAAAATAAAGGTTGAAGAAAAAATGAATAGAGAAAGATGGCAGAAATAGGCATTAAAATGTTTACCTGAGAGGATGAAAGGGACTGAATTAGGAAGTAGGATGGAATGATGAAAAATATTTCAGATGGGAAGAAAATGAGGAAGAAAGATGGCATTAAAAAAAATGGGAAAACAAAATCAAAAATGTAAAGTGATAAACATTTTGAAAATAAAAAAGGAATGAATAGTGAAGAAGAAAAGGAAGATAATCAAGAAATTAATAGAAAAGGGAGATAACCAAGAAATTAATAGAGAAGGGAGATAACCAAGAAATTAAAAATAAAGGTGGTTTAAACAAGAATAGTAGATGAAAAGATTTCAAGAAATTTACCTGGAAAAAATGAGATGAAGAAGTTTGCTTGGTGACTGAGATAGTTGTGTATTTTCTACTAATGTATGCAGGTTGAGACCATGTGAATGCCATGATTCAAATTCTGATTTTCAAAGAAGTTTCTAATCAAATGGAATTGGTACAATTTAATCTTCCTAATTCAATTTTCCTTCATTTTTCAAAGTTTTTCTTCAGGATATCGGATGCCATTTCAAATTTTAATTCTTATTACATCTTACTGAATAATTGTGATAAAAAGATGAAGAAAAGACAAATCATAGATTGTAAATTAAAATACTTAATTTCAAAAATGAAATTATCATCAGTCTCATGACCCAGGGTGTGGTTGTAATATTGCTGCATGACTAAACACCTCCCTTGTTCCCTCCATATATCTGGGTGCAGTGTATTTTGGGCAAGAACACTTGACAGAGCCCATTCCTCTACAGGCCAAACCACAGTCTATGTCCTTTAACTTGAAAGCTCATCTTGGTTATGAACACATAGCCATTGATTTCATTGGCCGAACCCTCTGTTTTAGCCATTGACCTTAGTCTATGAAACTCTCTTCCTAGAGCTGACGTCCTGTAACTTATTAATGTTTATGAACCTAACGAATTCTATTGGAAGCTTTACATCTTTAGGAAATTGAATATTGCTGCCATATCTAGTCTGATGCTCAAACTATATGTCTCAAGATTCTTGATAAAATTCAAAGATGGGTCTGTAATGTAACTGATCATGACCTGGCTTCACGAACAGTTATTTTCTCCTCATTATGGCATGGTTCCCTTTGTCTTTTCTGCAAATATTTTCATGGCAACTACTCTGAATTTTTTCCTCTGGTGCCCTGACTGCATAAATTTAAGCATGATGTTAGATTGGCACCTAGGCTCCACATGGACATTGATTTCATTGGTGGAACCTTCTGTCTTAGCCAATGATTATAAAGCTCTCTTTGTAGAACCGGTCATAGGCTTGCTGACACGCCAGGCAAACTGAACTTCAGCGCCCTTACATTATAATTTTTTTTAAATTTTCACAAGGAGAAAAACTGAAAATGTAGAATAATGAGTTTATTGCAATATACAACTTAATACAAGCTAATGAAAATGTTCATTACCTGACCTAAAATATTTTTTCTTTAAATCTACAAATCTTATTTAGATCATTTTCTATTGACAAAATAGCCAAAGAATTTAATCTGTCTTGAGTCATGGATGACCACAAATATGTTTTTATAAACTTTAGTTTACTAAAGCTTCTCTCTCCAGTGGCCACAGTAATGGCTATAATAAGGATTATTCTCTATGCAACCCGCAGATTTGGCATGACATCCTGTAACTTATTAGGGTTTATGAACCTAACAACTTCTATTAGAAGTTCTTCAGGAAATAATTCTTTTGCAATATTTAGTTCACATCATATCCATTAATATTACTGTTTTCTTTCTACCTTAACTTATCCTCCAAACTTTGATATGCTACTTTGAGTTTATCTGGCAGATCTTGTAGGTTATTTAAAAATCCGGATATGTTTATTGAAACTTTATAACTCTTCAATTCTCTCAGATAAAGAATTAATAGCTCTGTCGAGTATAACATTGAACATATAATTTTAAAATATTTTGTTTGGGTCATCCCGAACTGCCAGTACCTTGACAATGAGAAACCAGAAATCAAAGGAAATAGCTTTAAATCAAGGCTTTTCAATTCAACTTTCTTGTACTATTCTTTTTATTACTGAAATCAACTCAACATACTTTGAAATGGAACTGATTCCAAGGACTTTAAGCTTATACATTGAATTAATACAAAAATATTGTTTCTTCTTCAAACAAAATAAAGAAACATTAACAGACAAACTTCAACTAAAAATGTAAAGACCCTAATATATGTTCATAAATTTGTTCATATATGTTGATGTAACATTTTTTTACAATTCAACTACAAATATTTGAAAGTCTTAACTGAACAAGGCCTGTGTCTCAATCCTGTTCAAGTCAAGAGATCATATCCATTAATATCACTTGTTTTCTTGCTACTTTAAATTATCCTCAAAAACCCTGACATGCTACTTTGTCTTTATCTGGCAGATCTTTTAGGTTATTTAAAAATTCCCATGTGTTTATTGAAACTTTGTAACTGTTCTTTCAATATCTTAGAGATGAAAATGATCATTATACCTGCATCATCTGCTCATTCATTTTTGCAGTTGTTTGATAACGACAACATAACAGAAAGAATTAATAATCAAATTTTCAAAAATTTTACTCCATTCAAGAAATTTAATATTATTTTTATTTCATTTTATTTATTATTTTCACATTTTTTTTCCTTTTTGTTTGGAAGATCGCCAACACATGACATGGTATTATGATGGTAGCCTCAACTTTGATGGTGCCCTGGGTGACTGCCTGAGTTGCTAGTACCTTTAGCTGACCCTGTTTCTTCCTAAGAATGCCATGTCATCACTGCATACATAGTTATGGATCCCAGTCTACTCCATTGTGCTAGATGACTGTTGACACTACAAGTGTTGTTTTATGGGCACCCATATGGATAAGGAAGTGGTGGTTTTATCTCGATTTCAAGTGTTTTGGTTTGATAGCCAGCAGATGGTGCCTTTTAACGTTTGTGCTTCTAAGCAACATCCATTTTGACCACAGGGGCAGAAGGGAGGGGGAGGGGAATGAAAAAGTAAAGGATTGGGTTTGGGTTTTTTTGAGATAATGACAACAAATAAAACATTGATTATTACTCTATTAACAGTCATGCTTGGGATTATAGACTCCACACATGCTGGAAGATAAACTTGGCTGTCACATAGTTCCAATACAAGCCACATATCCAGATGTGTAGGTAGGTGAAGAGTTGGTAAGAAAAAAAGCTAATTCACAAGGTCAACATAGAAGTTGTCCAAAGTGTCACCTATCTGCCCACCCAGGTGAGTAAACGAAGCCCTAAATAAAACCTGAATAATATAAGAAACCAGGTTCATCTTTCATCTTGTTATCTTGTGAGCCTGCAGCAGGCAGGCACTGTCTTAGCTTTTGGTGTGTACTGATGAGATCTGTAATTGAAATGCAACATGGGATAATTATTGGCAGGTTGGTTGAAACTCTTGGGCAAGGGTCTTGTATGTTTACACAAGAATGTTCATCTATTCTTTGACAAGCCTTGTTTTTAATCCTGCTGGATGTCTAGCCACCCTCCTTAAGAGAAAAGCCTGGTTGGGGAACCAGTTTAGTCACCAATAACCCAATCATGCAGCAGGTAGTACTGGGTTATATGGTACCAATAGGAATCATAGAATGACTTGACGTTGACACGGTTGTGGCTCAATGCTTCATCGGTAGTCTACAGGTTTCATGAAGATGATTATTAGATTGTAATATTGTACGAAGAGAGCAAATGGAGAAGTGACTGAAGATTTGTGTCTTGCCTTTCTATAGTACTTCATGACTGAATTGGTTAAGTTGTACTTTCATGAGTTATGAGATAGGGAATATGACAATTTACATTGTTCAGACCGTTGTCCTCATTACTGTCATATTCACAATGTTTTGGCCGTTGTACACTCTGGCCTTCTTCAGGTGATAAAAAATTGGAATTTCGAACCAAAACCTTTATTTCATCCACCAGGATAGATTTTTCTAGTATCTTGCCTTTTCTAGATATCTGAGTTTCAGTTATCTCCCTTTAGTAAGTCAACTCTCCAAGATTTTGTTCACCTCTACTGTGGCCAGGTATTGAACTCGGAACTCTTTGGATCAAGTCACTTTTGGATTACTTCAACCAAAGCTTTTATTCACTGGACTTGGGGATGTGCAACTAGAACAATCTACTCCGGTGGATGGAATAAAGGGTTTGGTTCGAAATTACAACGTATATTACCTGAAGAAGGCTGAAGCTTACAACAGCCAAAATGTCATGAATATGACAATAAAGATGAGGACAAGTCCGAACAATGTAAATAGTTGTGATACCTCATCTCAGAAATATAGACAGAAGAGAATTGCAGGCTATTTTTTTATTCCCTGAGTGACTTACTTTGATAGTCATCACACTAGAAGGTTTTGATAAAGAAAATGCAACAATAAAATTGAGAAAAATTTGAAAAATTAACAAATTATTAAAGCTTAGCTTAGTAAATAACAAAACAGAGAGAGGGGGATTAGTTATAATAAATGTAAAGCATGTTATTAGGTGGGGATTACATGAGAGAGAGAGAGAGAGAGAGAGAGAGAGAGAGCATGAGACAAAATTGAGAAAGAAGAAAATGAGAAAGAAAGCAAAAAAATATGAAGTAATGAAAACTATGTGCAGCAAAGTTGAATGAGAAAGAAAGATATTGAAAGAAAAAATATTTGTTTTTCTTTTATTTTTCTTTCTTTCTTTTTCTTTTTTCTTTTTCTTTCTTTTTTTCTTCCTTTCTTTTTTTCTTTTTTTTCTTTTGATTTCTTTCTTTTCTTTCTTTTTTTCCTTTTTTTTTCTTTCTATCATAAACAAAAGATGTGGGTGGTTCTGTGCTTTGAATCGATATATGAAAGATTTACTGGTGTGCATTCTGATGAGTGTACAATGGGAAAAGCTGCAAGAGAATTGTACACATTCTCTCAATGGATTGTCATTTCTCATTTGCTTCTGGCATGCCATCTCTTCTGTAAAATGAAGTTAAAGAAAAGAGAAATAAGAAAGCATTTTTTTTGGCACAAAAGAAACCAAAATGAAACGTGTTTTTAAAAATGCATTTTGATCTATATTTTACAGTAACTTTTACGTCATCTTCAATCAAGAAGTGTATAGATATTTCCTATTATGTGTGTATGCATGTGAATATATATTTATGTAAATTATGGGCATACATCTGAGTGGTTAGAATGTACATTTTATGACCATGTGATCTGTGTTTGAATTTCACTGTGGTCAATTTGTTGGGAAGTTACCTTCCTAATGTTATTTGCCTGGAGAGGTGATGCCAGTGTGTGGCACTCTTGGAAAAGAATACTAAGAATACAATGGAGGGAACATGTAAACAATGAGGAAGTTTTAAGAGAAATAGAAACCCAAAACACTTCTACTTAGAATTTAAAAAGAAAGAGTTGAAATCTCTCGAACAAGGAAAGATGTCTTGTAGAATTTGGACATACTGAAGTCTTGAGAGACAGAGTGAAACTGAGTAACCTATCTAATGAGCTTGTGTAAATGGATGGTGGAATATGGACAAGGAAGGAACAAACATTGCTTATGAAGAACCATGGTTGTCCATGTCCTGAAGGGAAACGGTGCATAAAAAGTTCATCTCAAAAAATGATTATAATCTCTGCCTAAAAATAAAATGATTATAACCTCATAGAACAATATTTCTATAAGCTTAGCAAAGTATTAAGAATTAGGAAAATTTTGTTAGAAACAAAGAAAAAAGTACTGTACTGTAACATAATATCAGTCCTCCTATATAGCTGGACAATATCCGCACAGATGAAGAAAAGACTTGATGCAACAGAAATGTGGTTCTACAGAAGGATATCATGGACTGAATATGTGAACTATGACAAAGTTTTAGAGAATATAGAAACAAAAAGGATACTTATACTTAACATCAGGAAGAGATAGTTGAAATTTCTAGGGCACATAATGAGGAAAAGGGGGGTTGGAAAATTTGATACTCACAGGACATATTGAAATGCAAGAGGTACAGAGGAAAACAATACATAACCTACCTAGCAGACTTGAGTAAATGGATGGCAGAACAGGATTTAGGAGAGACAAAAAAGAAGACAAAATTTATAAGGGACATGTCACTGAAGGGACATGGCACATAGAAGAAGAAATCTAATAATATTTAGTATTTCTATAATGTTTCCCACATGTTCTGGTCTTCAGTTTTCTTAAAGAACCAAACTTTCAGGAATTCTGTTAAATCTTTGACATTATTCTGATTCAAGCTTAATGGAAATTCCTCTGACAAAATCTGATTAATCAATTTTACTTGATAAAGTCTTACTCAGAATGGTATTTTCATTGCAAATGTCTTTCAGTTACATTTCAGTAAGTTCAACATTATTGTTTACAGTTTAATGACAAACACGGAACTAAGTCTCTTAAATGTAACATGATTGTTTATTCAACTCTGGAATTTATTAATTAATGTTAGGAAGTTGTTGTGTTGTTTTGAGGTTTTCTTCAAGCATGTATTCTACATTCTTGCAAGGATGTATGAGATTCTTATCTTCTTCCCTCTTGGGTAAATACTTATATATCTACCTGTCCTTTGGTTTGTTTCATGTGTGCACATCCTCAGCACTATTGTGTTATCCACCTGATTACAGGTTGGGGGCAGTCACTGATATCAATTGAAAGTGTGGATCTGTATCTGGCAGCTATGAGGTTATCTCTCAGGTCAACCCACTGATGCACCTGGTTTCTCTGAGTGCAAGGTCTATTTTGACACCATCTAAAATTATTAGCATATATATATATATGGATGGATGGATCACCAATATTGTTTTGTTTTCCTCAGTTCCATGAAATATCAAAATGATGAAGGGTTGTCCCATTTTATCACTTTTGATCATCTGTACATCAACTGTCTCGTGCATGGTTACAAAATTTGTGTTTTTGACAAAACAGTGCTACTAAATTTTTGATTTTGCTACTTGTGACTTTTTTGATTTTAAAATAAGATGGATTAACTTTGGTTATAAATAAGAAAGTCAATTTCAAATTTTAGCAATAATGGATTTTTTATGCTCAGTTCAATACTTGCAGTTGAATCTGGCAAATCTGTGTTTTTTTGAGATGTTTATAAATTTAAGCAAACTTTTATCTCACATATGTAAATAATCTAAAAACATAGCATGACATGTTTTGTACATTACAAATTGACAAACACTGGTTTATACGTATATTTGAGAGTGTTTGTTTCAATTTTTTCTCTCCATTTTTGATGATATTGGATAAAAAGAGGTGCTTATGTACAAGTTCTGTCCAAAAAGAAACCAATCATTTAATATTAACAAAAAGTAGGGAAGTGGCACCTTAGTCTTCTTCAAGATAGTCCCTCTTGAGAGCTTATACACTTATGCCAACATAACTTCTACTTTTCAAAAACAAAAATTACCGTTAGTTACTGTATTCCCTTTAATCTTGTCCATGTGTTAGCAAATTTATCTTTGGAAAAGCTAGAATTTTCAATCAAAGCTAGACTGAAACACTGACAGACCTGTGTAATGCAAGTTTTTGATAAAAACCCTGCATGAATTATGTAGCTCAGTCATTGTGAATGAAATGGTAATGCTATACATAGTCTCTAAAAGGCATGTAACTTCTGTCGGGTAAACCCATAGAGTGTTCATGCAATTTTCAAGATCTTCAAAATGGTTTCCACATCTGCCTTTTTTTTAATTTTGTTTTTGCATATCTGTATTTTGATCTTTCTGACTGCGTAAACCCAGTGGAGAGTGTCTGTTCATGCATGCACAGTAAGGTCCCTTCTAATTGCTTGCTAATTTACATCAAGCCTGTGAAAGGAGCTGAAATGATTATTATTATTATTCAGCACAAAAGTGAAACAATGTAATTTATCAAAACAAAATAAAAACTGTAGGATGGATTTAAGCAGTGCCACAGTACAAGGCTCTCATGCCCCACCCATATCTATGATATGCTCCCTCCCACTCTACTACATCTCAACTTTCATATGGTAGTATTCATATAAAATACATTTTTTATTGTAAACTAATTATGTACAATATTGGATCATATGCAATATAAGTGAACCATTTAACTAGAAAAATTGAAAATAAATACAATGTATCTAAATACAAATTAGATCATTCCATCTTAAATAAATCAAAAATGTTTTGCAGCAATTTTTAACATCAACTTTTTCCTTTTAAAAAGTTGAATAATTTTAACCCATTGAACCTTATGGATAAAAATAGCACATTTTATATTGTGTTTTTTCAAGACTTGTGCAAAAACACAAATTCATGGATCTGGAAAAAAAAAATCAAGACAAAATTTTAAATAATCCTTTAATAGTTGTAATTAGTTTAATTTGTACCATAAAAATGTAGGTAGAAAAAAGCAAATGTTGATAAGATATTTTGTAGGATCAAAATGCAAAAATAGGGGCATTGGACAAACTAGCTATACCCCCTTTTTGAGGGCTTGAGAATGGTATTACTGGTCCTTTATCTAAGCAATCCCAAATTCTGTGTTGAAGATTATAAATTTAAAAGAAGCAAAATTAGCAGCCATTTATTTGATACCCAACAAAGACATCATAACTCATTCTCAAATTATTCAAAATGGCTGGATACATTCTGGACAGAAATTGGCTCTATTATTATTTCTTGGCACTATAAAATGGTTAAACTTTTTTATCCTAGCATTAATTTCTAGCATTTTTGCTAGTATAGCTTGATGCTGATGTTGAAAAGTCTGTAGAGAAAGAAACAAAAAAAGATAGCATCTCGCCTTCCAGCCACTGAATTTCTGAAGATTAAATTTGGCCATTTTTGATTCTTACTAAATTTGTTTATTTTCGGCTCACAACATCAGGCTTGGAAGAGCAGTTTTGTGGGAGGGTGCAAAAGGAGGAAAGGGAGGGAGAGATGGAAAGATAAAGAGAGAAGTAGAAAGAGGAATGGAGAAAGAGATGGAGATGAAAAAATAAAAAAGAAGATGAGAGAGGCAGTATTGAGAATTTCTGTAGATCAGATGTTGTAATTTTTGGTAAATAATAAATTTCTTTATTCTCACATACAGAATAAAAGTAAAAGTATTATACTTTTTCTTATTGTAATGTCTTTTGCTGTATATATCATATTGTTTCGAATTAGAGTTATACATTATTTACATTATTTGGACTATTGTCCTCATCTTTGTTGCCATATTTATCACAAGGTTTCAGCTGTTGTATGCTCTGGCCTTCTTCAGGTGGTTGGAATGTCAAACTGAACCCTTTATTTCACTCACTGGAGTAGACTGTTCTAGTTCCAAGTGCCATGTTTAATGGATGTCAGTTATCAGTTATCTCCTGTTAATTCCCTTCTCCAAGTTCTCCACTGCCTTAACCAGGTATTGAACTCACACTCTTTGGGTCCTGTCACTGGATCTATCACCTTTATCCACTCAAGGAGACATAGCACAGTGGATAAAGATGTTGGTTAAATCCAGTGACAGGACCTTTTGTCTTTCAACAATAATGTGATTAAGCTTATCAGACAATATGAAAGGAACTTACTTAAAATAAATAGACAAAACTTGTCTATATTATTTAATGAAACATGCATTAATATATAGATATATAGATATTATTTGTTTTATGTATCTATCTATCTATATATATATATATATATATATATATATATATATATATATATAGACATATAGGAATAAGGTATGGTGGACATAATAAATAGTGGCTTAGATTGAGGAATCGGAGGCAAAATAAAATTCCAGTTGAATCTATTACATTTAAATACAAAGCTAATACCCTTTTAGAAAGGTATGAATCTTCTTCTCCCCCCAGCTATGGGTAAATAGATTGGTTCTATAGCCTTGGATGGCAACTGGTCTAGGAGAAGTTCAACTCTGAATTTAAAAAATGTCTGAAAGGGTTTATTGGGGAACTTGTGAAATGTAGTGCACCAGGTTTCTGTATTTATTTTCAAAAGTATGGATGGTCCTGCATAAAAACTTTACCACATATAATCAAATCTAATGTGCTGGTGTTGGGCTGTCGGCTCCTAGGAACTGATCTGCTTGACCCTCATATGTCAAATTTGATGGGAGAGTCAGGTGTGTATATATGTGGAACTTTAGATGATGAAATCATGCATCAGATTGCTAAAATTTTCTGTTTAATGCTTTTGGTAAATCTTTGCCATCACTTGTGGAATGAGTTTAATGTATTCAACTGGATACAAAAATTCAGGTTTATGTCAGCAGTTGTATATTTTGCCATTCTTTTATACATATATATTGTTGAATTCCATACCAGTACCATATACATCAGCTGGATTTTTTTAAGAAATCTGCATACCTTCTGTGTAGTTAAACTTCTAACATAGACCTTTTTAAAGTGTAATATTGGAGGAATCAAGATTTTTTCATTTTACAGTCTTAGTTTTTAACTGGTCATATCTTGAGAATGTCTGATGACAGACGTAACCTCAAGATCCTAATGTACAAAAATTAGATCAGGGCTACAGGAATGTAGGATGCAAATGGCTAAATACAAAAGACAAGTTGAAAAGCAACTTTATCATCAATCAATATATCTCCATAACACCCTTGAGTGCTTAGCCTCGGAATGGGTAGAATGGAGATCAACATGTTTTAGTGGACTCATTATTACTTTTTTCAGTTATCTTGTCAAAATCATCTTTTGAATTTAAGCGTGAGCAAGATCTAAAAAAACAGCCAATCTAATTTAAATTTTTCATCCCACAATCTTCATATTATCCATATATAAATGAAATGTAAATAAATCATTGGGTCTTAAATAATTTAAGATTATTGTAAAAAAAATTTCACAACTTTAATCAATTAGGTTGTCAGATAAAATTAAATCAAATAATGGGAGTTCTATTGCTTTATATATATATATATATATATATATATATATATATATACAGAGTGTTGTTTGATTAAAGATGAATGAAAGTTCAATTTTTTAAAAAATCATCTAACGTTTTATAAGTGCTTTTGGCTTTCAGAAACAAAACTTCTTTGTAAGTTAATAGGATTATAGATACACACATATATAATAAATTTTCCTGCGTTGCTTTTTTATCAATACATATGAGGGACAAGAACTCACTTCCTAGAAACTGAGAATTTTTTTACATCAGATTTGATTATAGATGTGAAGGCTTTGTGCAGAACCAACCAAACTTTTTTGAAGGGCTGGATAAACGGACCTTTTAAGAATATGATAGCGCACCATGGAAAAAATGGAATGGATTTAACTGGATTTGAACTCTGCAAAAATTCCTCAATTTGAGCCACTGTCCATTAAAAACTTTGCTCCTCTACATGATCCTTCACTGACCAAAAAAAAAAAAAGATGCCATAAAAGATAGTTCTAATGATTTATCATGTAATATGAGGAAGAATATATATATATATATATATATATATATATATATATATATAAAATAAAAATTTAAATAATAAAAAGGATTTATTTTTCAACACAATCTCCTCCTTTTTTTATTGATGAACATTAATTAAATAGTTCAAACATTATACAATAATTTGCACAATTTTAAGAGTCTTCTTGATTTGATATCATTCAATTTAAAAGAAAAATATTAATTTATTTAGTATTCTTTTGATGCAAATAATTTCAGTTTTATTCCCTGTTGGATTCACATTTGTTGTGACACAGTTAGGAAATTAGGATAATCCCTGGATTAAATGGTAATTTTCTAACTTAATCCAGGCCTTTGTTTCTTGTGTGCCTAGCTGACATGTAAAACTGACTGGATATTTTTGCCTTCTGTTAGCATTACTTTTCCTTGTTTTTTCTTTCCTTTTTTTTGCT